TATGGATTTTCTTTTTTTTTTTTTTTTTTTTTTTTTTTTTTTTTTAGTCACAGTTCAATATTGATGTGCCGTCCGGAGGTGAGGGGGGTTGGGATTGACAGGCTTTATTTTTCACAAGGAGCGTAGTAGAGGCCCAGCGGTGGGCAACAGATGGCCCAGCGCGGAGGTGTTTGCGAGGGCCTAATGGCATTTTGATGTTTAAGCACAGAAGGGCGTGAGGGAAGAGTCAGCCGAGGCCCGTCGGCGGCCGCGGCGACACATACGCAGCGTGTGCTCTCGTGTCACACTTGATTATATCAAGCGAGCGTGAGGGAGGACAAACTTGCATGTTGTGAGGGACAACTTTGTCCTATTGTGACAATATGGCCGTTATGACTGTCGTGGACGCTGGGGACAACACCAGACGAGCACTTCTCACTAACAAGAAAAGCTGTGGTCACACTTTACAAGTGCATCATCGCATTTAAGTAGAAGACGGGGGAAAAACTTTTTGATTTGTTATTTATCTATTTTTTTTTCTGGTCTCTTATTTTAAAATGTCAAACTCATACAGTTGTACCTTACAGGGACTGTTGAAAAATGATTTTCTTTTTTTTTTCGGTCTACATTCAGCACATCTCAATGACGCTCATTATTTGTGGGCATGGCCTGTTTTTTTTTCATATTTTTTTTTCCATGTATTGGATCAGGACTAAAACCAAAGACACAGACTCGGGTGCCAAAAAAAGCATGATTGGGACATCCCAATATATTATAAAAGCCACCGGCACAATATTTGACCTTTGTTGACCTTATATGTGAGGTCCTATGAGAGAAAGCCATGATCACCTTCACAAAATATTTTATATTTATTCTCTGGTTATATCCGCCTTGCAAGTAAGGCAAAAAGAAAAATACTGTTTGCGTCTTTAATCCTTTATCTCTTCTTCACTCTTTTCTCCATGCACCAAACGGTGCTTCCTTTGTGTCAAACCATTTTCGATTTCCAGCTGGGGGGGTTTGGGGGGGTGGGGGGGGGCGGTGTCTCCAAGTTTGGCCACGCTCTGCGGCGGTGCTACTTTTCCCCGTTTGGCCGATTACACGCACCAGGCCAACCTGCAGCTAAAACAAAAGGCATGCCGCACTTTGGACCAATTGCAGCCAAACATGCATTTAGCCTGGCGTAGCCTCTCAGATTGCTGTGTGTCCCGAAAATAGAGGCTTTTGCTTTGACTGGGTGTTAAGGTAGTGGAAAAAAAAGGCGAACACAACAACGGCGGCGGCGGCGGCGGCTGTGTTGACACACGGGAAGAATCGTTGTTTATCTCCTCTAACACATGCAATCAGCGCAAACGCTGGGATGGGCCTGTCATTTGCTCCCTCCCGCCGAGGAGTCGCTGTGGCGGAAAATCACCTGTTTAGCTCTGGAAACGCACACGCCCAGGAGTCCTGACCAATAAAGCCAGACGTTCCTTTTCAGGCCCATTTAACCCAACGGGAAGGACTATTATTGAAGATGTTTCCAGTACAACTGGCTCACTGTTTAATTGGCATGAAACAAAACGTATTTATCCTTCATTCATTGTCATTTCTTAACTTTGAAGACTTTTTCTTCCCCTTGCACATATTAAACTTGTAGAGGCTCCAGCACGCCCGCAAACCCGAGTGAGGTTTCACTGTTCGGAGAATGAATGAATAAATGAAGGAAGGAAGGAATATTAAACTTGGGCCTCAAGGCACCACCGGTCAAGTGCATTAAGCTACAAGCATCATCACAGTGGACCAAGATGCAGGAATGGTGGAGGATTTTATACACACACACACACACACACACACACACACACACACACACACACACACACACACACACACACACACACACACACACACATTTTTATTTATTTATTTTTGACTTCCTGCAAGCCGACAGCTTTGTAAAAAATGTAGTCTGATGGAAAGAAGACATAAAAAGACAATAAAGGAAGAAAAAGAAGCAGATGACTTTCCAGGCAATATCAATCACGGCCAATTTGAGGGTGGGGGGGGGAGGGGCTGCCGACATGAAATATGATTTCATAAGACAAATGCCGTGTCATTCTTAATGTGCTTAACCTTTACTGTCAATGAAAAAGTATTGATTCCCCCCCCCCCACCACCACCCCCCCGCCATCTTTTTTTTTTTTTTTTTTTTTTTTTTTTTGGTCCCGATTTTGCACCATCCCCTGCAAGAACACAAATTTGCCATTGATGTTGGCTTGCACGCGGTCGTGCATGGTAGAAAGTTGTTTTTCTCATCTTGTGGTTGTTGTTGTATTTTTCCGCAGCCGCTGAACCCTCTGGCCAGCCAGGCGGCAGCAGCGGCGGCGGCGGCCGCCGCAGCCATGGCGGCCGGCTCGCAGGTGTTTGGCAACACCCTGTCCAACCTGCAAGGAGGCGGCGGGCAGCTAGTGACCAACGCACAAGGACAGGTGAGCGCCAGCCCTCAGCATACAAAAGCACTTCTTCCCGCACTCCTTATCGAGCACACAAAAAAAAAAAAAACGCTGAGCTGGTAATATTCGCAGAATTGCTCAGTAAG